GCATGATCTTGCTTGTGTCTACCGGTCTTTGAATCAGATTCTGTATAAACCCTGCAAACCACAAAATTGCAGGATGTGAAAACCTGGTTGCAGGATCTGCCTCCCATAGCCCTTCAACTCTACTTGCTAGCCAGGCTGCTCCTGGTCTTGTTCAGTAAACACTCTTTGTTTGTTTGGCCAGCTCACCCCTTTCTATTCCATGGGTTACCGCTTCGAGGATGGCAGTACCTGTGGAGATGGGATCGTACAGAATGGGGAAGAGTGCGATGATGGCAATGCAGTTGTGACTGATGACTGTATAAGTAAGTTACAGTGCGTCCAAGAGCATCCTCTTTCTACCAGGGAAGGTGCATTAGCTGTTTCCACAGAGTACACTGTTGTGTGAATCATACAAGTGTTTCGCTCAGGGTAGCTTGTGTGGTTTGTGGATTGAATGCAGACACAGGGAAAGGGAGGCACATTAGCCACAGTGTGAAAACTGAGGTCCCTCATGCATGTGAATGGCACACACCAGCACAAGACAAGAGGTGATGGCAGGTACTTCTCATGCATCCTCACTGAGGACTGTGTACCTCACTGAGCAGAGGTGTCTGCAGTTAGGGCCAAACTACTGCATTTCATGGGCCAAATCCAGCAGCTGGTTTACATACACACCTTCCCCAGGGGCTGCTGGCACTCTGGCCAAAGAGATGTAACATAGCTTTGCAGTGCACCACAGAAGCCCTTGGGATAGACACAGAAGCTGGCTGTTTCTTATAGTAAACTAGAACCTGTGTTCAGAAACACCACTTTGGATTTTGTTATTCACTTGCATAGGGAAGGTGTCAGCCCACCACCTTCACTATTAGGTTTATGCAACATGTAATTAATGTCTACTCAGTCTTCCTTACATGTTGCTGGTTGTGGATAGCAAGGAGCATAAAAGCATTCAAGCAGCTGTGGCATCCTTCAGTTCTCCTTTTCAGTTTCTTTTATGGCTTGGTTCCTTTCCCAGAGTGCAGCACCCTACACCATCTCCAGCTGACATGCAACAGGTTTGGTACTCTCTTGGTTCTATCAAAGGGATTCTTCTTCATATTTCAGAACAGGTATCAGCCAATACTGAAAAGTTGCAATTTTTCATTTCTATAGCCCTCTGGTTTTTAGCCTGACTTTGAAAATGGGGTGTATGCAGCCATGCCCTATGTGAGTTTCTACATCCACCTGTCCATCACCACCCTTTCCCTTAGAGTTTAGGAATCCCAGCCAACTTCTCAATGACAAGGGGAAAGAGGTTTCAAAGGCAATTCAATCGTAACCGGTATAGAGAGATGTATAAATAAAAGCCCCTCTCAGGCCTCTGCCTGACTGCAGAGTAATCCAGAGAGAGCGAGCAAAAGCTGTCCAGTCTCCAGACATGAGAAAATGATTCAATTAGAACTTGCAATCAACCACAGGGAATAGCCATGCGGGAAAATAATGTTAATTAGTTCTAGTGCCTACAAAATTGTACATTGTGTGTCTGAAGGCACATCGTGTTCTTTGTGCTGTATGCTGGGTAAAGCTTGTGTGGTTTGTGGATTGAGTACAGGCACAGGGAAAGGGAGGCTCGATGGTCACAGTATGAAAACTGAGGTCTCTCATGCATGTGAATGGCACACACCAGCACAAGACAGATAAAGACAGGTACTTCCCATGCATCCTCACTGAGGATGTGTGTGTGTCTGAAGGCACATTGTGTTCTTGGTGATATACACTGGGCAAAGCTTCATGTCAACGGAGACCTTGTAATACATAGATTTCTAACACTGATGTGACCCAAAGAGTTATCATTTTGTTGCTTGGAAATGAGTACATTGTCATCATTCTGCTCTTCTGACCTAACCAAAAGAAAAAGGCTAAGCAAATGTTAAGTGGATTTAATTGTAAAATAGGCTCATTGTTCTTAGAAGCATCTATTTCTCACAAACACACTCTTGGTATAATTAAATAATAATTTCTATTTTAAATAACCCACTTCAACTCTTATGAACTCCCTATTCCTGCTTAATAGCAATGGATTCCCATAGAAGATGCTAAAGGGATTTTAACTAAGTGAGTTTGCTCAAGTTATAAAGTCATTCTCAAAATGTGGAAGACATCAAAAGCAAAGTTGCTAAAATGGCAAACAAACCCACAAATCACTGCAGCCAACATGTCAGTCACCATGAGAAAATGTCACAAGTCCCACTCACGCTCAATTCAGAAGGAGTCAGCAGTGGAAAAACACATTTTTGGTGATCATTACATATTTGGTGGTTTTTTGATAGACAGGCAATATGTGGGAACTCACAGTAGACACATAGGTATTGCGCAATATTGGGTAAAAGTCTAAGTTGGTATTTTCAAATTGCTTAATGACCTTAGAGTGTTTCTTTTGAGATTGTGACCTCCACAAATCATTTATGTTAACAGTATTTTATGCTTCCTTTCATTTGTTTTGATAGTAGTTATCTAAGTTAATAATCATTATTAAATAGATGCTGTTGTAATTAGTGGTTCTGTAGTAATTATTTTTTAATATTTATCCATTCTTTCCCTTAGTTATTGAGATTAGACTAAAAAATAGCACATTCTTTGTAGTGAAGAGTATTGCTCCTCCTAAGACAGTTCTCACAGGATGTCCTCCCCAAAATACTTGTTTTATACTTTACCCTTAAAATCTAGTTCCACTTACCTCACCTGTCTCTCTTGCATATGAAGAGCCTTGAAGTTCCTGCTATCTTTATGTTTCGCTAGGATGTCGCCGTGCTTACTGTGGAGATGGCTACAGGCACGAGGGGGTTGAAGACTGTGATGGGAATGATTTTGGATATTTGACATGTAGGACATATCTCCCTGGGTATGCATGAATTGTCTTCACTTTATTTTGTGGTTGTTTTGTTTGTTTTGGGGTTTTGTGTGTATTTTTTTTTTCTCTTTGCCAGCTTTAAAACAGAGGAGTATTACCCATTTAAACCTTGTTCCACTAGGATCATGGCAGGTGGTGTGGGAGAAAGAGTCTATCAGATTGTTTCTGCATATCATTGACTTTAAGGGCTAAATCTCATCTCTTGGTAGTAAGCACATGCCTCTTACTGTATAAAATGAATGAAACTTGCATAGACAAAGATTTGCCCATTGCTTGTAAAGCTTTCTTCATTTGATCACATTATAATTGCATTAATGTCCACCCTTAACATACCGAGAGTAGGAAAGACCATAAGAAAGAGATAATCACACTGAAGGAAAAAAACCCCAAAACCTGAAATCATAAGCTCCAACAGACCTCCTGCTGCCCTTCCCGTTAATGGGTACTCTAGAGGTATCTTTGCTTCTGAATCAACTGCTCATGTGTGAGCCTTTCCAAGGAGCAGGAAATTCACTCACCAGCAGATGCCAAGCCATGCATCTGCTTAGCAATGTCCTTCATTTAAAACATCTGCTTATTCTTGACTTGGCTTCTCTGCCTTTGTTTAAGCAGCATCTTCTGGTCAGGGCTTTGCCTCCAACAGCAGCACCTCTATTTAACTGTCAGGTATTGTTACTGGCTAACAGGAAACATTTAATTTGCAAATTAAATTATGCGCAGAGCCCTCATCATTCAGGGAAGAATAATGTGCTAATTGACAGGAATAAGAAACCACAGGATGTCTTTGTAAATCAAGTGCTGTGCTAATCCTTCCCCTGTAATTGTTGGAGCACTCCCGCTGTAAGAGATTACTAAATCCAGACCAGTAAACCTGACAAACCTGAAACACTTTACAGAGTTCTCATCTTCAGACCGTATGGAGCTGTTTTCTACTTTGAAAACTATGCCCTTCTAAGAGTCTGAAGGTTGGTGCCAAAGATAGCACTACAAAAGCTTGAGAAAATTTTATAAATTTCACTTTGCTTGTATATTCAAGGTGTGAAGAGCAACTGAGATCCTTCATTTTTGTGTGTGCAGTCTGCAAATTATCTGCCAAACTAAAGAAAAAGCAGTGAATCAAGAGTAAAGTGTACTAAGTATGTGAGCATGGCACTCCCATGGGAGTTTCATCCCAAAGTAACCTCTCCTCCAACAACTCTGCTGCAACTGATTTTCCCATTTTCTACCCTTTCCAGCCCACAGATCCCTCCTCCTATTTCACACACCTTCTCTTCATATTTTATTTGGTTTTCTGAGAATGTGGGTTATCCAAGGGCATAGCTTTAAGGCTGCTTAGCCTGCAGCAGATGCTGTGGATGAGTTATTCACTTAGACATATGCCAGCAATAAAAACTCATTAAAATGCTCATAAACATCTCTGGTCAGGTCTTCAGTAGGTAGTCACTGCAGCACAGTTTAAGTAGAAAAACAAATCTCTATTTTTCCTTATTTTGCAAGGACCCTTTCATTTAATTTTATGTGTATCTGTTTCAAAGGTGGGCATGTGCCACTCTCATTATCTCAAGTACATAAGGACAGTCACAGTCATGCCTGCTGAAGCTATTGGGAGTAACTGGAAAAACACTTAACCCATAGCCTCAGATATTTTGTTACACAGTTCCCGTGGGTGAGCGCCAAGGTCTTCTTCATCCACCCCCGCATAATACTCAAGTCCTGCTGCCAATAGGGATTTTAATTTTTTTAATTGACATTACTGGGAGTTAAGCCTTCACTCATAGTTTCTCCTGGACTCCTATTTTGCTGACACAGTGGAGCAGTGATGGAAATTATCCTCCTATTTTGGTTCCCATATGTTGCTGCATATGGCATATTCTGATGTTCTTCACTCCTACAGAGAGTTACATCCAGAAATCATATAATATGAACTATAGCGGACTTTGAAACTGAGATATTCTCTTTTATTCTAGGTCTTACGGAAAATTGCGATGCACTTCTTACTGCTACATTGACTCCACACAGTGTCGATACTTCACATGAGGGGAGCCGAGGTGGGTAGCATCCCACTTGTCACGGGGTGCTAGGTGCTACATTATCACCTATCCAAGAAGGACTTCGACAAAAAATCACCCCACCCACCTCTGTGTGAAAACAAACAGAGAGACATCATGCTCCTGATGGCCATTTTGAGATGTTTTTCTTTTTTTTTTTTTTTTTTTCAAATTGTCGAATTGGGAAAAAGTAGGACCATTGCATCCTGTCTTAATAGAGAAATGTCGAACACTATGTGCCAGTAAGACTTTCATGCAGCTGTGGATGGCAACTTGCTCTCCATCACGAAAGCAACATTAATCTACTGGAAACTGAGTTTCACTAACCAGGAATATTGTGTAACAATTACCTCGACTTAGGACTGTTAAACCCAAATGTAAGCTCTTCAGGGGCTTCATCTTTAACCCTTCTCAGCATAAACACGAGTGTATCTTGGATGCAGTGTTTATAGGCACTTCCTCTTTTATTACAATGTGAACTTTGCAAGTGTTGTATGCACCAGTGATGACTTCAGTGACATTAAGGTCCTTAGTGGGTCAAAGGAGCAGAGGCCTTTCAGTAAGTGCTTTCAGAATCAGCAAATCAGCCAGAAAAGATGGTTAACTTCGTCTTCAGACAAAGTCTGCGTGTCTGTGTGCATGCATGGGAAAGCAAGAAGTCACAGGAGGCCTGAAACACAGACCAGAAAGGATAAATTGGACAAATAAACTGTGAAATAGCCAAGAAGCTCTCACCCAGAAGAAAATCAGACAAGGAGGGAAGATAGAGAAGGGATGTATTCCCATATTTTTCTCCTCTGTGCTGAGCTGTCTGGGCTCTGCTTGACCTCAAGGGACTAGGACAACATTGGTTACCTGCCTGAAACCGCAACATGACCACATACCCATTGCCTTCACTATGGTGTCTGTACTGGAAGGTCTTTTAATTTTCATCCCCTTGTCCACCTGACCATCATCATTCGATTGCTAGTTATACCCAGTTCTGTCTCCCTCTCTCCCACTCACTGTTTCCACCATCGTGTCTGGGGTACCCTCAGTGTATGTGCTCACTTTTGTACCACTGTAAATCAGATCTTGGAGTAGTGTGTTTATGGATGCTCATCCTGTGCAATGTACATGTATTTTTGTTTTTCAGAAAGTTCACTCAATTAGCTCTGATAGGAGTCAGGGTAATTATATACTTATTTATTAGCAAGCACTAAAGAACAAATTTCACTTGGGAAAGATATTAAATGTTATGTGAAAAAGAGTCTATAACAGAAAATGAAACAAAGGATGTGCAGAATTCAGGACTAAAAGCCTTAAATCAAGGCATTATTTTCATACAAGCCATTCTTTTCTGCTTTGTGGTAAATGTTGTATGTGACTGTGTGAAATATGTGAGTTATCTGTACCCGTGATAGCACTGCAACAGCTGCACTTAGACTAGCACTTCTGCAAAGGTTAAATAAAGGTGGATGTTGTGTTATAATGCTAATGCTTTAAAGCAATCAAGAAATGCATGCAACTTCTGCCACCTGCCTAGAAGACTTAAATTCTGTATGTCCAAAATGATACTGGAAATCACCAATTAACAACAAAAAAAAATAAAACAAGAAAGAAAATTAGTGTACTCTTGATGTCTATCACTCATCTGGGCTATTTATATTGCTATGAAGCCAAGCCACCAGCATTTGTAGGCCAGTTCAATAGTTCAAATGTATTTATTTATTTTTTAAACTGAGGTCTTAATAGAAGGGCAAGGAACCATGGGGGCAAGAAACTTGCAATAAACTCTGGAAATCTGGGCACTAGCACAGCTGCCTTTTAATTTCATGTGCTTGTGCAAGCAGCAGGTTCCAGCAGCATCACACCATGCAGGAGCTGTATCACAGTGGGAGGCTCCGGAGCGCAGACCTGCTCCCAGCAGCATGTCCTGCCGGCCAGTCCTCTGAACCTCTGGCAGTGCCTGCTGGGTGTTACCATCCTGGGCTTGGAGACACTTAATCTGAACTCCTCACCTTCTCTGAGTTCATCTCTACTCCCCAAAAGGCTGGAGTCTTTGAGATATTTGGTAATCCCAGTGGCCTTTCACCTTCAGTTTTAAGTTGAATCATTTTGAATTAAAAGCTCCTACCTCCAAAGGACATTGAAAGTTGCAGAGCTAAGTGTACTGATAGTAGAATATGTAAACAGGAGATCTGATCTCCTAGGCAAAATTGTACTGTGCTGCACATGTTCAGGAAGGGACCTGTCAGTCTGCTCAGAGAACATTTGCAAAGCAGGGATTGTAAATGGACTTTATTAATACAGCACAAACAATTTGGCATCTTAACAGAAAGAAAGCAATGTGAAGTATAAGGAAACAAACAAACAAAAATAATATGACACAAGTTTCATACTACTGTTACTATATTGCTCCCCTCAGATGATATAGCATGACAAAGACACATGGGAAGTTGTTAAGTATGTATGTAAGTTAAGTGTGTAGAAGGCTCCACTGTCCTTATTTCTGACATACCTGATTTATCATTAACTGGGGAGTCTTCATATGGGTGGTGCTTGGACTGCTGCAATTTGTCTTCCCTCCTTCTCTGTTTCTCAACATACTGTGCCAAAACTGGTTCAAAAGTTAATTGGGATGTTTCAGTTCCTTGGCCTTTTGTAGCAAATGCTTGTGGGAGAGTTTTCTAATGATTAGTAGGCAACTCTAAGCAAGTACAAAAACAGTATGATCTTATGCCATGCACTGTATAAATGTATACTAAAAATCCAGCTTGCACTTAAAATGTAATTAAATATATGTAATTACCTACTGCATATGTTAGCAGCTCATGTCAATAAATCATGCTACCTTAGTTCCTCTATGTCCTTACTGTTAACTTATTTAATTTTGGAGTTAACAACACGGTTTTTAAATGTAATCATCAAGTTTAAGATGCTGGGAGGGAAAAAACCCAGTGCCTACTCTCCCATGCCTGCTGCCTCTCCCCACCTGCTGCTGGATCCAGCTCTGTGTGGGCACACTAATATACACCACAGCCTGGGAGTGTGACTGCATCCCTGCTCCTGGGCAGAACAGCTCCACTTTCATTGATTTCTGGTTGGAACTGGGAATATACTTGTTTTTAATAAGCTTTGGTCTGGGGTTTGGGCGATTATCTCCTCCTGCTACCTAGTAATGTACTGGCTGTTTTGTAACTCCTACCAGAGGCTGAATTGATGGCTGCAAAGCAGAAAGCTATGGTGTCAGGTGCTGATGGACAACAGGAATGATGATGTTGATACCTAGGGTACAGTCACTCCGAGCAGCTGGCACCCAGGCTTCGAGAGCAGAGTTCTGTCTTGCAGTAGCAGCCTGCAACTCTGTTGTCCCAGGGCTTGCCCAGAGAAGGGTAGTGCTTCCTGTCTCCAGGCAGAATGGAAGTGTATTGACAGCCAGAGAATGAATGACTCTTTGGGGTAGTATACTTTCTGCCTGTCCTTTCTAAAAGCTCAACTTCTGTGACACCTCTCTGGCTTCCCAAGTGCTTACGTCATGTTTCTCTTCACATCATTCAAAACTGTAGCTGCTGATGCTGTCCTTGCCCATAAATCTGCTTATACACCTCATCTCCTCCTTTCTTTCTTCTCATGGTTTCCTTTAATGGCATCAAAGTTCACATCCTTTGTAGCCTCTCCCAAACCCTGCAATGCCTTTGCTGCTTTGCAGGCTCTGGGTTTTGTCATCTTATCTTTCAGTCTCTCACACCATTTCCTTTCTAACATCTTCTGCTAGTTACAGCCCTGTAAATGTCACAGCAAAGCTCCTTGGTCATGGTTCTTACCTTCTATAAATTGCATGGTGCAATTCCCACTTTGGACCCACTGATTTGGACAATGGGAGAGGGTATTGGTGGTTATCCTTAAACTGAGAGTCCTGCAGAAGAGTCACTGTCCTTGATCACTAGCTGTTTATGTGTAATCACAGCAATAAGAACCCAGTTAACTGCATTTGGGGACAATTCAATAGCTTTGGCACTTGGCTGCCACATACAGTCTGGAGATGTATTAAAAAAGACCCAAATAAACCCAAGGGAAGTAAACAAATGCTGTGATGTGATTCTTTGATGATATGCAAGTATATCATGCACAGTTCTGCAAGGACATCTTTGAAGAGCAGTTGGAAAAATCATGGTTTACTTCACAAAGGGTGAGGCAACAGAGAGCACTTTCTGATAGACTTTCGAGTTCTTCCTCTGATAGCTTTTGCCTAAGAAGATGGATATGGCAAAGCAAGTGTCCCTTCCCTGGAAACCATTCCCTTTCCAGGAAAGCACAGAGCAATGGGCTATTGAACTCTACTATAGGCAGCATAAGGTGCTGGTAGAAACACAAACTAAAACAGGCAACTGGTGAATGTAAAATTTGGATTAGGAATTTGGATCAGATTAACTGATGGCTATCGCTCTGGTAAGGGACCAGGCAGCTTGCAGACCATCAGAGTGTTGCTAAACCTTAACCAAAGAGATAAAATGAAGAAAGCCTAAGGAAATGAGCGATTGGAGTCTTTACTGAACATAGACAGTGAAAAACCTCTGTGGTATTAGTGCATCCAGTTATATGCCCAGCAGTGTGCTCTGTGCTGAAAGCTGGTGTCACTCCAGGGCTGAAAGACTTGAGCAAAGCCTGGGCACATGCTTTCATTGCATCAGTAATTACTGGGGCATTTAGGAGGATGGCCCTGAACCAGCCCAGCAGAGGAAAGGCTGTGTTTGAAAGGGTAGCCAGGACAAATTATATTAGAGGACTGTACTCCTGCTGGAAATTGCATTAGTGGCTACTTCCCTCCCTCCGCCCCCAACAAAATCTTGGCACTTAATAGACACTGAGTTACAGTCCTGGTCTTTTAGGGCTTTTAATTGACTCTGACAGTTCCCGAGCATCTGATGGAGGGTCCAGTTTGGATGCACAATCTTCACAAGTGAGAGAGAATAAGGTTTAAACAGACAAATTTTGCTGCAGCCTTCC